CTAACAGCCACATAGAGCAGGCCGGCCCCTCTGTCCCAGGTGCAGTGAGCTTTTACTGAAGCGTACGAACAAGAAAACCTTCTTTGACAAATGTTGGATCGTTACGCGTCGATTCATGCACTTTCCAACTGGCAAGATGCTCACTTTGCAATGCTGTCCCGAATGTCCGGGTATCGTTCCGTCACGTTCTCGGCGCTCCGACTGTACACGAAGATGCTGCCGTCCTCGAAGCCGTGTACCTGAGTAGCAGAGCGAGACGTTCGTCCGGTCGGTCCTAATCTCTGTCCGATTTGTCGTCAGTCTCAATTCATTGCTCCAACTCTGCTACGCTCTGGGACTAGTCCTCAAAGCTTCTGTCCAATTTGACCTTGCTATCAACTAGATTGCCCGCTTCATCTTAACTCTTTTCGGCATAAGAACCCCAGCCCGCCGAGGTCACAACTAAGATGCGCAGATACAATTCTTCTACGTTCCCGGGAGCTTAATCTTTGCCCCCAGCATTCACAAACGAACATCTTTGCAAGTACGACCACTTGTGCTGTGCACCAGGCCTTTCGATCTGAGTATCTCACAACTTCGAGAAATGGTACGAGGGAGACTGCTTCTTCCGAAGGAATTCGTTCATACAGACGCCTTTTCGTCGGCTTTCGTGCAACGAAGCAGAGACTAAACAAAGAAGAAGAGGGGGGCTTCGGGGGGGCGGCAGCCCCCCCGTTTCTCGTGAAAGAACTAAACTGTCTGATCGCAAATGCCTCACCTGCGCCCGCTCCCCGTCAAACTTATACACGCACGTGAACCCTACGTTGACAGCTGGTTTCGAGCTCAAACTCAATATCGTAAGTAGCTACCGGGATAATGAACAATTCACTGAAACGAAAGTATCCCGACCTCAGCACAGCGCTTTACCTGCGCCCGCTCCCCGTCGTACTTGTACTCGCACGTGAACAGCCGGTCCTGGAACTTGTCGAGCACTTCTGTGACGCCTTTGGTGGGCTTGGCCAGCATGGGCTTGACTGGGACGCCCAGCTTGAAATGGCAGACCTCCGGGAGCCGTTTCACACCGACCTCCAGCAGCGCGGGCACGATCTCGTCGAAGGAGGGGCACTCGCTGTAGACCTTCTTCATGATCTTGCCAGCCTGCACATTTGCAAAGGCTTGTTGAGTGCTATTATGAATGAGGCCAGTGACTTGTTAGTATGCTGGATGCTTCGTTATATGATCTCGTCGTAAGAGAAAAATTGTTGTGATCCTCCTACATGAACGTGCCCGCCTGTGAATCCGCACCAGACTCGATCCTTTGTAGCTGAGCAGGGCCGACAACAGCTGCTTCTGTGATTCAGGAAACGTCAAGAGTTGCTCCAGCCTGCTCAAACTCACTTCGTCAAGCCGCGCTGGTAAGTCCTTCGGAGGAACTGGAGGGTCTTCTGACAAAACCACTGCCTGGCCCAAAGCGGAGATGACCGTCTGCTCAGCAAGTCCGATCCGCATCTTGCCCTGCATATTCAAATGATCCGCTTTAAAGCCACAGCAGCGGCATGTGGCAGGTTGGCGAGCAGATGCGCCGAATTTGGTTTGGTGATTCGCGCTTCACAGGGGCAGACATGCAACGTCCCCATCCCCTGAGTCGTTCAATTAATGCCTGCCCGAACCCCTCACGTTCTGAAAGTTTTTATTAACGATACCCTCGTCCATTCTGGAAGGCAATCAGGGCTCCACTGAAGGTGGCCCTGTTCAAAACCAAGATCGAAAGTATCGGTACGATGTACACTTGTTTTTTGTACATCGCTTTCAAGGCCGATCGGTACGTATTGTTCAGCTATACGGCTTGACGAATTACTTGCCGAATGGAATGTAGCAATTATTTCCGGTTTCACAAAAAGCAGAATGCGACTCATTATCCGGAATTTCCAACTTTTCGAACTCATATAATCAATTATTTATTTGGACTCACACCTTGGTCGTACGGTTACCCTTGACCAAACCCCTCACTCTAGCAAAACAATACGCAAACCTTCTGACCGAAGATAGACCATACCAAACAGCTCTTCGTTACAAAACTGAGATCCTTCAAGTTTGCTCGATCTGCCAGGCAACGAAGTACAGCAGAGGCAAAGGAAGAAAGAAGCCTTACCCCGAGTTGTCGCATCAGATACAGCGGTTCGCATTCCCGGGCAGCAACCAGCAGGGCCTTTATGCGCGCCCGCTTCTTGTCCTGACTCGCAGTGCCGGACTCCTAGGAAAGGGGGGAAAATACGGAATTGGTCACGAGCTGTAACAACAAAAGGACTGGCGTCTGTTACATGAGATAAAGATAAAGATAAAGATAAAGATGCAACAAATTGAGTCGTGCGGGTTGGAGGGAGAGCAAACAAACGGTTGAGGATTCAATTCAAAGGTTTCCAAGTTCGAGACGACAAGCAGCTGCGCCGTTCGAGCAAAGGTGTTTGAAAAGAGGTGTCTGCACTCGTCCGGTAATCTCTCAGTGTCTGTGCGACCGGCGACGAGACGTCGTGACGAGCACAGCTGGCTGGCGCCGAAGCCGTTGATCGAAGTCTTCTGATCTCTTCTTACCTTCGCAATGAAGCGAAACTCGTCCAGCACTTTCCCACACGTGAGCGCAGCGCTCGGAAACATAGTGCGCTGGGTTGTCCGACTGGCCTGTGCCACGATGCCCAAGTCTCCGGCTTTCTGTCATGGACAAGAGAACCGCATTTGAATAACGTTTTGGTAACTGCACGAGCTTGGGAGGGAATGCGGAAGTCTCGACTTCGGAAAACGAGCTCCCTGGCTTTCTGAGATAGAGGAGGCGAGAAAACATGAATAAATTAATGCCAACTGCACGAGCTTGAGAGGGAAAGCAGAAGTCTCGATTTCTGGATAGGATCGGATTGATCGCGAGAAAGTTGGAATGGCTTTAAAGACCAGAGGTTGGACTCTTGGGAAACGCGACAAAAAACAGAGTGCGCTGCCGAATCCACTGTTCGTAGAAAGCCGAGTGACAAACGAATGCGGGCTGAAGTCACCATTCTTCTATATTTTGTGGGCTGTACTCAACGGTAACTCCACTTCTTGCTAATAATTAATGACGTAGCCTTAAGGATAACGAACGAGTTTTTGCAATCAACCGTGGCTACCCCGTTCATACCTTCATGTCGATTTTGATCTGCGCCTCCTTCCTGCCCGTCGCTTCCGCGAGCGCCTTCACGAGCGTCGCCTCGCCGATCCCCAGCTCCACGCCCTCGTGAGCTGGCGCCACCTTATTCGCGACTAAGTAAACAACGGGCAATAGGTCCCCTGGGCTAGTTGCGATGACGGTGCGGAAGACGTTGCACAAGAGCTCGGTCATGGCCAGGCGGCCGCTCTCATTCGAGATAGCTGCGCAGAGTGATGAGTGGCAAACATAAGGTCTCAAGAATGAGAGCTCCTGAATTTGTAAAATATGCGTTCCAACAGAGCTGTTGAAAGCAAGCCGACAAGGATAGCAGAAGGAGGTTGGTCGTGCCATGGGCAACCGGTGATCGTGCACTAGTCAGTAGCAGTTGTCGCGTTAACAAACAAGACTGGGTGGCCCGAAGAAGGAGAGAGCTCAAGGAGGGATCTTGCACGTTATTGAATTGCGGCAGTTGAAAGATAACCCAAGAAGCATCTAGCCAGTTCTGAGAAGGTGGCCTCGATTGCCTTTCATAGACTGTCCCTGTACCAGTAAGCCCAGGTAATTAAAGTCCAAAAAGCACGTAACAGCAGAACTTTTGCACGTCAAATCAGCACTTCGACAGTCCTTTCATGTCCCGATGGAGAGGGACGTTGTCCAAGCGTACTACTGAGAGACGGCGTTTGGCTCTCACCGTCCAACGCCTGTGCAAGGAACAAGAAAGGGACCCGTTCCCCTGGCTTCCAGGTGGCCGCCTTCAATGGGTCATATGATGCATGCTTGGTTGCTAAGGCCGTCAGACCATCGCCAATCCCAGGAGCGCCCTTAGCCTTCGGTTTTGCTTTGGCTTTTGGTCCTATGCCAAAGTATTCGTGAGATGGTTTTAATGACCACGCTTCTGACGTCTTACACCCCATCTAACTGAGGATGAGTACAAGTGGCAAGAATCATAGTTGTCCTAAGTCTCCAGGATATGCTCAGACATATACTTTTGAATGCTGGCTCGAGGTTGCTCAAAAGGTGAGACAAAGCCGGATTATCTGTTTGAGCTCACCTGCTTTCTTTTTCGCAGCTTTACTTGGGGCTGCCTCCTCCTCCTGTTCAAGTGCCTGCCGAGAACCAGGTGCAACACGTTAGATTGGAATGCAACTCAGACACCGAAAATTACATCCAACGATGGTTCAGGATAATCGAGACAGTACAACATGATGTCTAGACACAATCAACGGGTCTCATGTACAAAAGCGAGTTTGTACAAACGTTCTGAAATAAGAACTAAATGAGCGGGTTGACAAAGTGACGAAGAGAAGCAAGCGTATCTAAATCATCAAGTACCTGGGAGTATGACAGGCAATGCATCTGGCGCTTGTCAGAAGTGGGTGCCTAAAAATCAGTATCTGGACAGCCTTCCTTTCTGATTGAAAAGCAGCTTCGAGACAAACTCCTGACAGGTTTCCTCCTGGTTTTGACCCTTGAGACGCAAACATCATCAGACATCCTGTCGGCGCAATTGATCTCTCCTACAAAGCTCAACGCTGATTCAAACATTGTGATGAGAGACCACAGCACACCAGTGTAAATTGAATGCACACTGTGCCTGATCCGATACTCAATCACAAGATCGGTGCGCAGCGTAAATGAACTAACTTTACTCACCGCCTCCGTAACTAGAAGCGTCTCCCCCAGGTCCTCGTCCTCAACCTCCTCAGGACTGGGGCTCTTCTCCCGCTCAGACACCTCCGCTGCAGGGATTACCGCTTGCACGCCTTCAAAAGCTTCGGCTTTCCCCTTCTTCAGCGCACCTTTTGCTGTTCCCTTGCCTGCTTCATCATCCTCGGCCTTCCCTTCTTGCCTTTCCGTCCCCACTTCTTTCTTGGGAGATGCTCTCTTGGGAGCTTTCCGTGTGAAGAAGGACCTCACATGCTGCGTGCTATCTTTCCCCGCTTGCTCCGCGCCCTTCCCCAGTGTATCCTCTTCCATAGCTTGTTCGTCAGCCGCAGGCGTAGGTTCAACTGCTGCACCGGCCGCCTCTGTTTCAAAGCTCTCATTGACTTCCTCTTCAGCCCGCCCCTCCAACGGTACTTTCTTGACTTCTTCGGCATCAGACGCCTTCACCAAGCGCCGACGTCGCTTCGCTTTCGGAGCAGCCTCTTCCTCACCCAGAACACCTTCCTCGGGGGCTTTCTTCATTCCAGCTACATGATCAGAGTTTGCAACAGCCTCTGGATCGTGCCTATCATCTGGGGGTGCCGCGACAGCCTCAACAGCGTCTGCTGCTTTCACCACTGCTTCAGAGATGGGCGCCACCACACCGAGCGCTTTCTCAAGAGCCCGCTTTGTCTCATTCCTGACTCGCTTTTTCTTCTCCACATTCTCTCCTTGTATCTCCGGTTGGACTACATCCTTTGCAGCGACCCCAGGTGCCGTGGCCTTTTCTGCGGCTTTGGCTTTGTGGCCAGGTTTTGCGCCGAAAAAGGATGCTATGGAGGTCTGCCTCCCCTTCGCTGCGGGAATAGGCACAGCCTCCTTGTCTTCTTTCATGCTCACAACCCCTACAGAACCTCCTCCTGCTGAATGGAAGCTTGGATAGAGCTGAGTATTGCTCGCTAGCAATGACCGAGAAGGGACTCGCTCCAAATGCAAACGCTGTGCACCTGACACTAGAGTCCCAAAACTTGGAGTGTCAGGAGGCAGATTGATGGCAAGAGAGCTTAACCTGGGCGGAACTAAAATATGACGGTAAGCTGGCCCAAGAACCAGGTTAGCTGTGTGTGAAAGTCTGCATAGAGTGTGCCTAAGCATTGATGGGGAGACCGTGGGTGCATGGCCGATCGAGCGCCCCATGCATCGTCGGATAATCTTCACCACAAAGTCTGCTTTGTCGGAAAGCCACCCCTGTGTTTTACACACGGCAGCAATTCTGCAATCAGAACCTCCTTGAGAGAATGAAGCCCTTCCTCAGCATCCGTCTCAACAGCAATATTGCGCCTCACCAGCCAGAACGAACGCCCCAGATTGTCTCAACCGCAGGTGGCGAACTGTTTGCAGATTGGCAGATTGCATGTGGCAACTTTGCCCAATGGCAGGACTCAGGAGGCTCAGGCTTGGTCCACCGTCCTACCGACTGCTCAGTCAGTGCTCACTGCAGTTCCCGCCATATTTGAATAGCTTGGCCAACTTGCACTTCAGCAGCAAAAGCAACAGAATGTCGATCTATTCGAACCCTCCGATCTAAAAAGATGTTATCGGACGGCTCTGATAATAGCAAAGGTACGTACATACTTTCTGTGAAATCAAGTTGGTATTTGAAGATTTTCGACGTTCGAAGTTAGTCG